TCAGTGCTGTTCGTATTCATAAATGTCTTTCTGACCCTGCCTTCATGGTTGGGCTTGGTGCGTGGAGACTGGGAATGAAACCCAGGCCCTGTTGAAAGCATCAGCAAAACCCTCTGCTGGGTGTTAAGATGTGCTCACGAGAGCCCCGGTGGACGTGGCCTGTTGTGAAAGGTGCTGCTGCTCCAGAGCCTCGTGGTACTGGCTTGAGGTGGGCACTCTCAGTAGGGAGGCTGTAAAGTCAAGATCTGCTCTGGCCTGAAACAAAGAACAAGACTGAAGTGTCTTAAGGAACCAAAGATCTGTCCAAAGTTTAAATAAAACATGACAAGTTGAAGAAGCAAAATGTGGAATCCAGTCAGGTTTGCCTGGTGAAATACAGCAGTAAAATATAGAATTAGCAAACACCAACTAAGTTGCTGAAAAGGTAATGAGTGTTTTGGGGATAAAATAGCACTAAAGAAAAATCGGGTCGTCTTGGAAATCAGGAGGAAGGAAATGGATATTGATCCCTGCAAAGACACTAAAATAAAGTAGTAACTAAAACTTTGTGATACACCTTTTTAATTGAATTAAGTAAAAGAATGGGAGATGTGAAAATGTTTGCATCATCTGTTCCTGATGATATGTGTCCAGTGGCCGTTGAAAGAACAAGATACAGTTATAGCAACTGTCTTTTTTGAAGTGTTAGAGAGCAGGTTCGGCGGCGTTGGTTCTTGATATTTAAAATGTGAGGTGATTTAGACTTGTCATAATGGTTGTCCACTCTAACACTTTGAAAAGTCTTGGCACTAACATTTTTCAAAGCAAAAAAAAATTGTTTTAAAGTAACCCCCAGATAGGGTTGCAATGTGTATTCCCCAGCTAATTAAGTAACTACTTCAAACACCATGTCTGAAAGACATTCTCTTGCTATAAAAATAAAACTAAGTTTAGAAGAATGCCAAAGCAGAAAACTTTGCATATATTAAAGTTAGAAATGATTGTGATTAATTTTGTACCTTTGCTGTAAAGAAAACGCCATTCTTAGTGAGCAGCTGTTTGGGGGGGGTGGTGTTCTGTGGTTTTTTTTTCTTTTTTTTTTTTTTTTTTTAATCTTTTTTTTTCCCCCCCCTGCTGTATGGCTCCAGGTTTTATTTCCTGTACACTGTTCTAATGTTGCTTTGAAAAAAAAAAAAAAATTCTTTTGAGTTTTCTGTGATATTGATCACAGTCATATTGAACTCCAAAATCACCTTTCTGATCATGAGGTGGTGTTTCTGTTTTATTTATCCCACCTTTTTTGCGGTTGAGAAACTGAGGCGTTATCATAGGAATTTTATGTGGCATGTTTATGATGGCTGTTGGTTAAATGTTCTGCTTTAGAAAACACTTCAAAGCACATCTCACGTTAAGCTCAATAACAGTTGCAGTTGTCTTTCCTCTTTCTCCTGTCTCCTCCTCATTCCCTGCCTGTCTCCCGCAGCAGTTGAAGTGCTTGGTCCTAAGGCACAGACTGGCCTTGTTCGCTGCGCCGCCATCTCCGCTCCTCCCTGGACTGGGCCTGCAAGGAAAACAGTGTGATCATGTGCTTAAAGGCTGACAGTTATATCTGAGAAGGAGCCAAGCTTCATGTTCCATGAGCAAACTTAATTCTAACACTTCTTATCTTCTGGCACCTAGTCGTGCAGTGGTAATAATTCTTTTAAGTTGGGGAGGGAGGTGGCAGCGTTACTGCTCTCCAGGTTTTGTTGTGTCTTGCAGAAGTTTGTTGATGGCCTCTGAGTCACTGGCGGTGACCTTTAGCTGCACCATGCAAACAACTGTGGCTCAATCTGAACAGAAATGGGAGTAGGAGTAAGTCATGTTGCTGGAAGGTGGCACCTTCTGTAGCGACCAGCCAGCACTGGGGGATGACATGTGCTTTCTCCCTGGGCTCCCTGATAGTAGAAGACTGTTGAAACTTTCATATATTTAGGTTTCTCTTCAGATTACATTTTCCATGTGATGTTTACAGAGTGGTGTTGCCAAGATGGGGTTTGGAGAAGAAAGCAGTAGAGTGAAGCTGGATTCTCCTTATGCCCTGCCTGCCATGGCAGCGGGTTGTGGTATTTAGTGCCACAGTCTTACTCCTCCAAGCCTCAAAATGATCGCAAGTCCCCACTGTGCTGCTGCTTGTTCTTTCCCGGACAGCGTGGCGGGGAGAGGGAACAAGCAGAGCTGACAGCCGGTTCGGTCTCTCTGGGGTTGCCCCAGCCGTTTGCCTGGTTGTATTTACTGTGTTCGGTCTAGCTAGTCCTTCATATTGAAGGACTCCCATCCTTGATCTTGATGTGGTTGCCCCCAGGAAGCTCAGAGTGCCCCCCGGTTCCTCCACGCCGTAGGGCAGTGACCACAGACCCCTGCAGTGCAAGTGCCAGTCCCTGCAGCCTCTGTGCTGTTTCTTCTTGACACACTGTTCCTCTTTCTTTGTCCAGCAAGTTTCAAGCCACCTCCGTACACCTTTGTAGCTCTTCTGATCCATCCTCCCTGTGCCCCATGACACTTAGCCTCCCTGATTTCCTCCTTTAGCCTGGTGAAATGTAGATGTTCTTTGCAGGTAGAGCCTTCTTGCTTCTCTCTAAATTCTGGTGTCACCTGAGCAAATTTTAGTTCTCTGCCCCAAAGTATGGTATTCAAGAGGTATTTTTAAGTATTTTATATAAGAACATAAATGATGTATTTTTCTGTGACCTCATTCTAAGACTTTGCTGAACTGTTTTTTTGCTGAATTTTCCAGAGAATTTCAGCCTCAGGCATACATATGGCCTGGAAAATTTCAGCCTAAATGCTTGAAGTTTGGCAAAGTTTATAGCACCTGAAAATAGTCTTCATAATGGAAAGTGTCAGACTGTTTTAACTGTAGCTATCTGCATTCTAGTATCCAATGTGGAACAGAAAATGTTACACTCAAATTGGTTAAAAGTGAATTTGAGTAAACACTGTTACAGGAATGGAGACCGAGGTATCGTATTGTGAAACAGAAGATGGTAGCAGTAAACAGTGCCGATGGGCTGGCTTCATAGGAATCACCTAAAGTTTCCTTTCAGAAACTAGAGATGAAGACTTGCCTTAGCAGGAATTTATATTTCAGCGAAGGAATGCAGCAGGTGATGAATGAATTTAAAATTACTGAATGTAGTTAAAGTATCTCGGCCTGTTGCAGTGGTGCTTAAATTGCCCCCTGGGACCCCGCGGGAAGGAGTATTTGGTCGGGCTGCTGAAAAAGCTGAACCTGTGTCAGGTGTTCTCTGTTACAGGTTTGTCGAGCACAACGTGTCTCTTGGAAAGAGCAGTGTTGTCAAGGGTCTGATGGCCTGAAGGATTTGGGGGCTATCGATGCTTTTTGTTTAAATGTGAGGTATAAATAGTAAATTTTCAGTGGTGAAAAACAGCGACTTCTAATCTGGCCACAAAAAAAAAAAGGGAAAACGCTGACTAATACTTAGCTGGAGTTAGAAGCACGCATGCAGTTCAGCTTGGTAGCAGAGAAGGGCAGCGCTCCTCTGCAGTGAGCAGAGGTGTCGTGTTGTGAGGGGGTTATAATTCCTACCTGTGCAGCTGTAGTATGGCGACATTTGGGCTATAATCCGTTTGGGTCACCTTCCAAGCAAAGAGGTGTTGCTAAAGGTGGGGAAACCAACGCTGGTGAGAACAGCATGTCTGAGTAATTGCCTTGCAGTGAAGGAGCAGCAAGGCAAAAGCACAACCGCCTGGTTTGGAGGAGGCTCTTGAGAGAAACGGTGCGTTTCAGTGGTGCCGGCAGCAGTAGTGGGGAGCGATAGGGATGGCGGGGGGGAAGCAGTTGTTTAACTTCTCAGGTAGGAACTGTAGCCGAAAAGGATCCATGGACGCCATGTTATTTAGGATACTTTAAAATGAGAGTAGTGAACAGTACGTTTTAGGAAAATGCAGAAGTGTGCTATAGGGAGCTCTCCCGCTCCTTGGGGGTGGACTGCTTGGATGGATTAATGGATCTTTTTGCTGGGGAGGAGAGGCAGGGGGGACCTTTTTCCTTAAGATAAGATTGTTACGGGCTTTTTTTTTTTTTAAAGGCGCTGTGTATGTGAATATAGTTAGCACACTGGCATTAAAAAATAGATATATTAACCTTGCAGTGCTACAGTTGACAAAGTACAGTATTTTTTTCTGGTTCAGTTAGTCCTCAGCAATAAAAGATGAGAGTAGTGTCTCACAATGGTGGACACCAGTCCTGAAACTCTTACGGTGCTTGGTAAGTGGTGCCAAAAAAATCTGAAAATAAATCTTCCATCTCTTGCCTCCCATCCCCCTCCATCAGTGATTTCAGTTTGGCTTTTCTGAGGTCTATTAAGGAGGTGAATAAACTTTCATGTGATATGTGGCTTATGACTTGCTTTATGATCTGGAAACTTATTAGCACATATGACACTGTATTCCAGAGCTTTGGTATCACTATTCTGTCTGCATTGCTCTCCTTGGAAACTTTTTTCAAGCTTTTTATTTATTTATTATTATTATTATTTTCTTTCTCCATTTGCCCATTACTTCTCTCTCTGACAGACATGATTATGTTTATACGTTGAAATCACTGTTGCTCGTTCGGTTATACCAATACATTGGTTCTTAAGTTAAAATTTGTAGGGAA